AGTGCGGGAGGGACATGGGCTGACCCTGTGCCAGAGTGACACCAGCTGTGCTGTGCAAGGTTGACGCTGGCTGTGCTGGGGTGACAGTGGCTGTTCCCATGCTGGGGTGACACCAGCTCTCCTGCGTGCAGACCTCACATCACTGCAGCGGGTCCTCTGGTGCTCTCGAGGCTTAGCATCACTAAAAAGCAGCCTGGAAATGGGTATTTTCTCACACACCAGGGCCCTGGGGGTGCCCCTCATATGGTAAGGGTGAAGGTTTAGCACTGGACCTGGTAAACTTACATTAATGGTTGGACTCAGTGATTTGAAAGGTCTTTGCCAACCAAAAAAATTCTGTGAGTTTATGATTCCATACCTGCCAGGAGCCAGGGCTCCTGCTGCAGCCACTCTCTGCTGCTTCCCTCTGGAGGAGAGGGAAGGGCTGCACCCCCAGCTGCTTTCCTGCGGAGGCCCTGGCTTTCCCTGCAGAGCCCCTGGGTTTTCCTGCACCCCAAAGCTGAGTTGTGAGGTGGGGTTGGGGTGTGGGGTTAAGTGAACCCCTGGGGCTTGTGCTGGCTGCCGAGGTGCTGAGCTGTGGAGCCTCACGCTGGCAGCACAGCCCCCGGGCCCCCCCTTGTCTGGAGATCCCCAGCAGCAGCCTGTGGCAGTTATCACAACAGCCAGAGGCAGCTGCTGGAAGAAATCCTTTCTGAGATGTGGATATCGGTGCATAAGAAGTAACACTGGAAAAGTCCTTCAGGAATGGGAAAATTCCTCTATGAGCTCATTTTTCAGAAGGTGAACCCCATGACCTTGGTGACTGTGGGGCAGACGGGCTGACCAGTGGCCCCAGCTCAGGGGCCACCAGTTCAGAGTGAGAGGGTGGCAGCGTAATTAGTGTTAATCAGTCCAGCTTTACTAAGCATGGAGTTTAATGAAAAGAAATAAAATTTGGCTGTTATTTTTTTGAAGTTACAAATGTGACTGGCCGAGATAACTGACATTAATAGGCGAGACTAACAACTGTGTGACTTGATACAGCATTCTGATTTAAAATTAGCATTGTGTAACTTTATTAAAATGACTGCGTTTAATGTCCTTAATACATATCTTCTCGGTTCTAAAAGAAAGTAATTACAGCTGGAGAAACGGTCCTGCTGGGATGGGCAGTTCCCCTGGGTCCGGGGGAACAGGCTCTGGATTCAGACGTCTCTGTGTGATTGCCCATGTGCCAAACGTGCCCGTGGCGGGTGTGGGGGGGCACGGGGGGCGGCGGCAGGGCTGGGGAACAGGGAAGCGTCTGCTCGGAGCCCTGGCTGTGCCAGCAGGGACGGGGCAGGCAGGGAACGGGGCTGGGAAGTGGGGAAGCCTCTGCTCGGTGCCCCGACTGTGCTGGCAGAGGGGATGGGGCAGGGAAAGGGGCTGCGGAGCAGGAGCTGGGAGCGGAGCCGGGAGCTGCCAGTAGTGTCATTGCAAGGAACTAAGTCAGTCCCTGGATTTACGTGCACAAAGGCGTTTAAAGGCCACATCTGGAGGGGCACACGATGCGGCTGTTGGTGGAGGATGTGCCCGGTCTTGCTGCTTCCGCTTGCAGCAGAGATCTAAGTGCCAGGGCAGGGTTCCCAAGAGCTGCAGGAATGACTCCGGATCTGTGTGTTAGAGGGGTGTTTATGGCGT